CACAGACAGCCTCTTCCCAATATGCGTTTTTGCAATTTACATATATGCAAAAACGCATAAAAAAAATTATTAAAAATAAGAGATAACATCGTAGTCCGAGGAAATGAATTGTTACCATAATCAGTGGTTGGGAAAATTTCGGAAATGAACCACATGCGTTTTCCCTGTGATAAACCTTGAACAGTGATATTATAGTGTGTTACTGGTTCCAAGCCACGGAAATGAAAATCAGTTTGTTCGCCTCTTACAGCATATTGCTTTGGATGCTTATCCATAACGCTTGCCATTGAGATGTTCACCTAAACTGACGATTTTAAGGATTATTTACGCTAAATTTGTATATGGAAAACATGCGCAGAAACATCCACCTTTAATATCTATACACATAAATAAACGCAGAAACATCTATACACATCTAATTAAATGTCCCGGGTGTTACAAAAACATTGCCGCCCTTAACAAGACGTTCAAAATTGCACCTATATGCACTATATTACTGAAAACACCTCAGAATTTGCGTAAATTGCAAGCCCTACTTGTCTCTATACAAATATGCATAGATTTCTAAGCAACTTTTATGCAGGAATCTATGCCTGGTTAATGTCTGAACTCAACAAAAGACTCGAATTTTTTGTGAGAGAAAATCGAAAGACACTGATTCTAAACAAAATTAATTTGCCTATCCTGTCGAACTAACAATTCAAAATCTGATATGGATATGTTTATGTCAGAGAGAGCTCTGGTTAAAGCATAAAGCACAAAGCAATAATTATTCTGGAGGTTTTCAAAAATATTTCTGGCAAAAACAGACCAAAAATTGATCAATAGCATTCCTGATAACTGGCGGCACAGTCCAGTTGACACGAAGATTATCATGTCCGGCGGACACCAAACGTAATTTTCCAGGTATTGGTCCGTCATCGGTGGAACGAGTGGTAGCGAAATAAGCTGGTGACCATTCGCCCCAGCCTCCACTGGCAGATTGAGCCTGCAGCAAATACAGGAACGCATGGAATTTTTACGTTTGCACCAAACATGCTCCCAAAAGAAACCGTATGGAAATCACATAGCCGATTGCCTAGCGGACACTGTTTCTGATAGATAAACCAGGACACACAAAGAATCAGAAGCTACGCTAGCAACTATTTGCTTATTTCCTGATATTTTGAGTAGGCCATTTCCGGAGTAAAAATCATTTACCTGTTATGATTAGCAGCTCGTTCTTTCTACAGCTTTTATGAAAAATGGGAGCATTAGAAGGAATCGACTCGTTTAATCAGAGTTTCTAGTCAGAGTCAAAAATGGACTAGTCAGAGTTTCCCAAAAATTTTTCGCATAATTATGATCCCCGTAAAGAACTTACAAACGAAACCTGCGCAGCAGTTCATTCCACAGGGAGTTTACTTTGACACTTTGAATAGCTTCAGTTCGCCGTATAATTCTTCAGCTGAGCATTTGATAACTTTTTCATATACTCTAGCTATTACTGCCCTACGTAGTGATTAGCCTGCTGGCGATCACGACGTCTGCTTCGTAACAAGTGCTAGGGCTTTTAACTTTGGTTTTCCACACGAAAAAATTTAATTTTCCACTATTTGATTGTTAGACTTGAAAAAACAAAGACGCACTTGAACTGCAAATCGGTAGGTTGTATCCGGCTGCAGCGATTTCACCGTTGTGCACAAATTATCGCTCGTAATCAGAGGACTTTTGTAGCCGGTACAACTCAGTTGTTCACCGGAAAGCTCCATCTCAACCGGATTCGAATCATCAGCGCGAGGGCTATATCGAACTTTGTAAACAACTACAGGGGTTCGTTCCGGATACGGTGGTAGCCAAGTAAGTTGGATCGCCTTAGGGCGTGTGTGCACCGCTGTTAGTTCCCGTGGTGGTCCAAGCTCGGTACCAGTTGTAGTGATTTGAATCGGCTCAGACCACGGCCCTGGTCCTTCGCTGGTGTACGCTCGTACACGCACGTTATAGATGGACCCGGGTTTCAGTTGATCCACAGCAGCATTGGTTCGTGGTGTAACACCTTCACGTTTCACATCATTCCATTCCTCAGCACCGGTTACTTCATACTCGTACTGCGTCACCTTGCCGTTTTGCTCCTCGCAAACCGGTGGCTCCCATTTGAAGGAAATCTCCGTATCACGTCGTCCCTCACCACGCAGATTTGTTGGTGGCCCAGACGGGAAATCAGCTTTGGTCCTGAAACGACGAACCGTTTTTGGAGTGACAACAGAGGAACGCAGGGTTGGCGGTCGTCGTGGAGTCACAGTAACCTCATATTCGGATCCTGGTTTCAGGTCATTCAGCACAATCTGCTTGTCCTGCACATTGTAACTTGTGACAGGTTCATGATCTCCGCTTTTAGATTCCGCGCAACCACCGAGCTGTTTCAGCCGATAACTGATATCAACACCGTAATTCCATTTCTGGTCCTGATCAGCAAGATCCCAAATTACCAGCGCAGATGTGGGTGTTTTTGGTTCCACTTTCAAGAAGAGCTCGCCAGGTAAAGCTTGTGTTTGCAGCGTCACACGATCACTCCAGGGACTGTAAGATGGTTTCTGCCCGTCTGCGATCGTTTGAGTACGCATACGGATCTCCCATTTAGTGCCCGGTACTGATGGTAGTAACAATTCGTTTGGTGCGTCTGATGCTACGGTCATCAAGCCACGTGACGTGGTATTCACAAAATCGATTATGTATTCCACACTGTCGCATTTCCAAGTTGATTCATCAGGATTCGTCCACGTAAGCTTAACGTTTTCGAAGTCGGATGATAGTTTAAGATCAGTCGGCGGTTCTTCAGGTTCTGAAATAAGCGATTTGAAACTAATACCCTTTATCTACCTCAGAGATACTAGCGGTTAGTCACT